GAGGAGGAAAAGAAAAGCCTGTCTACTTGGCAAGAGGAATGTCTTATGTCATGAAGGTTAATTCGGGTCTTTCCGAACAGAAACTGCTCTCTATCTTAGATAAAAATGGTTTATGACAGAGGGAAAGAGTAAAGGGCATCAGCATTCATTATTATTTTCTTAATTGCTTTTTTCAGGGCTTATGGCTGTTTTAGCACTTGGATACTCAGCACAGATGCTATGGGTGCTAAGGGAAACTCATAGGGACACATTCGTATCATGTAGTTTGGACATTTATATTTTCCCATGGCAATCCGACTTAATTTAAGAGCTCTGTGATGCTGAGAAGGGATGGGAGCATCACTCCCCTCTACCAGTCCCCTCTTCTGCTCTCAGCCATCTCCCTGATGTTATGCCAACTTTAGAAACACTTCTCTGAGACAGTTTAACTCACTAATCCATCACAAAGGGAAGTGGTGGATTCTCCATCCCTGGAGGTTTTTAAGATGAGACTGGATATGGCACTTAGTGCCACAGTCTAGTAACCACGGTGGTAGTGGATCAAGGATTGGACTTGATGATCTCAGAGGTCCTTTTCAACCCGACTGATTCTATGATTCTATGATTCTATGATTCTATGATTCTATGATAATTTGGAACTGTCTTCCAGGGGGAACCAGAGAGTCTGGAGCCAGAAGGAATGGAGGGAGAACTGTCATGCAGTTGGGAACAGAAGAGGAAGGACAGGAGGGAAGATGGAGCCATCAGGTTGACTCAGATGCTGATGAAACCCCAATTTAAGTTCTTGTTCTAGACACACAGGTTCCCTTGTGTGGCCTCTGAAGATACCAGGTGAGTGGTCTCTTCATTCCTTCACCCAATTATATTTTTATCCTGACAAAGTAGTTGCAGCAGCTTTCTGAGGAAGAATCTAGGTATGTTTAGGTGAATGCTCACCAAGATAGGAACTAGAGACAGGAGAGGATCTAAGGATGCAAAGGGAGCAGTTCTGCTCAACAGGGGCAACCAGTGACATCTGTGGTGCTTCAGGACATCCAGCTTGGTCTCCCTTCACTGCTTCAGAAATGTCTGAGGGTTCTATAGATCCTGTGTTGGACTTACCAACCCTTGTGGATGGCTGAGCTCCATTGTATCTCTAATGGAACGAGGTGCCTGTGTTTATACAGTTCCAAATTGGCTCGTGATACAGCACAGTAGGGGCACTGAGCATGACCCACAAGTTGTCAGTAGGTAATGCTGCAGGGTTCAGTTCTGGAAACTGATCAAAATAAAACAAAATATGCAAACTCCATTTTTTTAAAGGCATTCTAAGTAACCCTCAATCACTCCAGCTCCCACATTCAAGAGAGTTTGCCTTTCACAGTGTTGAGCACTTTTACTTCATAAATATTTCAGGTATTTTTCTGCAGTGCAGGTAGCTCAGTGGATGTTAGGGCTGCCACTCATCATGACTTTACAGCATTTATGTATTTTCCTTCACATTTAGGATACTGACCTATCTCGAGATATATGTGGGACATAGATATATATGCATGATATTAAGATATAGGTATGAGAATCATCTCTCTTGGTGACAGACATCCACCAAGTTTCAGCTGTCCTTGACTCAGCACTCTAGGGCACTTCTTAATGTACCTGTCCAGAGGAGACCAGCAGAGCTGTGCCTCAGTGCTCTGCAGGAGCTGGAAAGGGCTTTATGAGATTAAGGGGCATTAATCTCACCCTAGATACTTTTGTTTTTCTAATTCCCTAAAAGACACCAGTCTCTTGGCTCTGTGGAAGACCACTGAGGGCTGTTCTGCACAGGAGGCAGAGGGGAGTTACTCTGAATAATGTTTAAAGTGGGCAAATTCAACTGGAATAATCTCTGTGTAGAGACACACACTCAGAACTACTATGACAGTAATTTGATTTGGTTTCCTTAAGTTTGGAATTTAAATAAATGAAAGTGAAATGAGGGACACTTCAGTGCCCTGGAGGAGGTCACCCAGGAGTCCAGTGAGGTCTGTCTGATTTGCTTGAACATCACAGGGGCAGAGGGCACTGCAAAACATAACTGTGAGCTGAAAAGCAGGGACTGTAGTGAAGACCTGTTGTCTGCAGGAAAGAAAGGAAGAGTGAAAGTGTATCAATAGTTTTAGTCTGCTGATATCTTAGGGTTAATACATCCTCGGCAGGGTACTTTGTAGCAAGTATTTGCAATGAGAGATAATTATTGACTATTGGAAATCCACAGTGGGACTTCTGCTGTCCTCCTACAGTGGGATTTCGGTTGGTATTAATTGACTTTAATAACTCAAGTAGAACTTTTTTTTTTTTTTTTCAAAACAGCTACCCTATGATTAAAGATGGAAAACTTTGCTGTATTTCAATAGGGAGGGGGGAAAGGCAAAAGCAGGTCTGTCTGGACCCACCTCCAGCAACGCAATGCTCATTGCAGAGAGCTCCCTGCCTGAGGGATTACATACCTGGGTACTTTCCTGCTTCCCAGGCAGGTGTCTGCTAGAAACCACTGTGACTCATAAGTGTTTACCCACCAGTATTTCCTCAGCCCCTGACAAGGCAGGTTTAGCTGAGAGCAGCCAGAAGGTGTGGCTAGTTGTCATTGTGTGGTTATCACTGTTAGTTTGAGCAGCGCTACCATGCGTGCAAGGGAGGGTTTGAGGAAGGCAGTGTAGGGCACTGAAATGCCGAGGAGAAGCACAGTCTGTGTAAAGTACATCACTGGACAGAAATGGAACAACAGGTAATGAGGAAAAGGGCTCCACCCAGGCAGATGCAAAGCTGGAAGAGGTTCTTACACACTTCAGAAGGAAAGGGGGAAGAAGGACAAATTAAGAGGTTCATTGTGAATCTCACTCTGGGATTTCATTACAGGGACATTTTATTTATGCAGTGGCCATGTCCAAGAGTCCCTTTTGTGGATGAAGCATCTATAATTTCTTCACTTTGTGACAAAAAGTATTATGCCACTCTACACTCCGAGTTCTTATTCTCTCTGCAGTCTAAAATTCAATCTTTGCAGTTGTGCCAAAATAAGACAGTAGGAACTGACAAGGGACAAAGGAGAGTGACTGAGGTCACCAAGAGCATAGAGTAGCTTCCAGACAAATTACAGCTCAGATACTGATGCTTGAAAAAGACAAACAGGTGGGATACATTAGGGCCTCTAAAATCTTTAGTGGAATGGCAAAGATTATCACTTTTTTCTTACTGTAGAAACATATTGCATAAGACACATAGCTACAGTGTCGAACAGATGAAGCAGTTCAGCTGCTGCTACTTAGCACATGAGAAAGTAATATTGAGATACCAGAAGAAAGTAAGGGTAAAACTACTCCATTCAAAGCATAGAGGATGAGATTTTCACATACAGTAGGTTTTTAAAGAAAGGTGTGGTTTTTTTTAATTCCCAATTAATAGACTATAATCTTTGGCTTCTCTAGCAGTTCATGCTTCTTGGAAAAAGTTGCTGGGTTTCCATGAATAAATTCAGTCCTGAAAAGATGGTTACTGATGTAGAGTTGGAATAGACATCATGCACAACCACTGTAAAAACATTTTCCATGCACTGAAATTGAAGGGTTCCCATGTAAATGAACTCCAATCTGCCATAAAAGTTTGATGGCCCCTTTCTCTGCTTTCAGAACAGGAACCCCCTGAGGCACACAGATAAAATCTTATATAAGGGAGGCTGCAGCTCAGCCCTGCCCTACCACAGCCTGGTCAAAGCTTGGGACATCCTTCCCAGGAAAAGCTTGTGCTAGAAGTCATTCAGATGGGAGGTCTCCTGGAGGTCCAGGTCTTCCTTGTTTTTCTCTGAATTAGTTAATAGAGACAGCAGCAAGAGGAATATCTGCTGGGAAAGGGTGGCAGGATACACTCCTGAGAAACACTGCTAAGGGGACCAAGAACCCCAACAGGAGGATTTTCTTGGTCTGTAGCAGCTGAACTGGGAGGAGAGAGAAGGAAGAGGAAAGCACTTCATCCCAGCACCTCTACCAACTACAGCACTGACTTGCTGACATGACAGACTTAAATGCTCTGGGTTTTTTCCCCCCTGACTTGCTGTGCTTAAGCATCAGAAAACAAACATGGCAAAGATTTGTTCTCTCTGTAGCTCATACTGTAATTCCTACAACACTGTATCTTCTCTCACGCAAACCCACTTGCTACATTATTGCCATTACAGCAGGAATATTTGTAATTCTGCTCTAAAAACACACAGTATTAGTCCCCAGAATACTGTATTTTTTTGCAGATGCAGAAACTCTCTTTCATTTTGCTTCACTTCTCAGCTTACCCCCAGCTCAAATCACTCCATTTCCCTTCTTACCCACTAACAAAAAAGGTGTGAAATGAAGACTGCCAAGCACAAGCAACTCTAAAATAAAAGGAGGAACTTCAACCTGCTGTCAGATTTCTTACTTTTCTTCTGCTATAAGAAGGGAGTTGAGCTGGAAGTCACAGTCTGCTTGGTCATAATCCGCCTAATGGGGATGACAGAGGTGAGATTCATCTCTCCTAACTCCAGATGTCTGCAGACTAAATGTTTATATGTGAAATAGTCCCCTAGAACCTCTAGGTCAGTGGAGGTAAAGAAGCATTTTGACAGCTGACCTAACACACTCCTAGAGAGCTCAGGCAGGTGCAGACATCTACCAGGGGAACGTCCTGAGCTCTCCTGGCAGGTTCAGGTTTCACATTTGCAGCCATGGCCCAGGAAAGAGGGTGGAATAAAAGACCCAAAAGTCCTTCTCAGTTTTGTGGTACTAAGATTAAACCTACCAGTATAACAAGAAGGTATATCTAATAACCAACACCATGAAGAGTTATTGCTCCTGTTCAATACTCCCCTCAAGCTCAAAACATCAGGCCACCCTAGTCTTGCTACAAACAAGGTCCCCACACCGTATTAGCTGGCACCACCCAAGAACTCTGTAGTATTTGATTCTGCCATCAAGCAGAAAGGACATCATGCAAATATATACGAGACTGACCTGACCCACAGCGTGATCACTGAAGCCTTATCCTTCTGCTCCACAGGAAAGGCTTCAACCATGTCCTTCACCTTGTTTTACTAAACAAAATCAAAAGCAGCTTACGAAGGCTTGAACCTGGATCCCTCACTGTTCTTAAACGAGCACTTCCCAGTGGTTTGAAGATAACACACAGAGAGACATCTCAGTTTCATATGCATCCATTTCTCACTTTTATATGTAGTATGAAGAGACTGGAATTTACAAAGCCAGATTTGTCCCATGTGAATTGAATAAAATTCTCCTCATTTATATTCTTACAGCTTCCCATGTAGCTCAGATACAGATCTTTTGGTTTCCCTCTGTGATACAATTCTGTATAAACCTTTCAAACAGTTGTGTCTGCACAACTGTAATTAAAAATATGATAAAGTTAGTTGCTTTCTCCAATGTGTTGCACTAGAAAAGGGAAGGAAAATTTTTTAGCAACTGCATTTCTGGTATCCCATACAGATAGGTTCTGGGGGTTTATTTAATTCACAACAAGCTTATTCATTTAAATTGAATCTGAAATCCTGTGGGTGACATTTTCCTGCTCATATGTCAGCAGATGCCTATTTTGGTTTTTTTTTTACTTCAACAGAAACAGAATTTTCTCTGCAGTGTCCATAATACAAATCTCACCTCTAGGCAAGCTTCCAAGCCTCAGCAGCTTGGTCATATGCATGAGGGACTGTTCTGTGCTTTAAAACCTCACATAGCATTACCCACAGTATTCTTCCATTCTCCTTTCCAAAGTTTGTCTTATTACTGTCCCCTGTTGAGCCTGAACCTAATTTTCCACAAGCAAGTCGCTGTAAAGCTAACATTGCCCATAGAATTATTTTTATACCTTGACCCCTTTTGCAAGACCTGGTAGTTACTGCACCTATAACATCACATGTGTCTTCACTTGTTTGACCCTATTCCATAGCATGGGCTTGATAAGGCAAGGACAACTACACCTTTGAAATGCTTTTCACTTGGATGTGATTCAGACTGAGCTCCTGATTATATTGGATGATTTGTCTTCTTTTTCCCCAATTAGTGCACTAAACAGATTTAATTCCTTCTATAGGCACTTGTGAAACATTCAGTTCTCCTTGTAAAGTTATTCTGTCATTAATTCTGATTTTCCCAGCCTTGTATGTTTTATTCTGTGTGTATAGTTATGGAGAATAGTTATTGTTGGTGCCTTGCACAGTTCCCAAATTACTGTTCCAGCCTCAGCTTTGTGTGAATTGCTTGGAGTATGCATTTTTATCAACTTATGGACACCTGCCCACAAATTTCCATAATAGACATGGGGTTTCTAAGCACATCCACTGCTAATGGATTTGGAATTGCTCTGTGTATTTTATCCGCATTGCTTTGCCTTCATAATATTAGTGGGATGATTTATAAAGCAGTTTTAAAATTATATCTTTATTTAATTTTCTTCTGTGATGTCTCAAACCAGAATGAGACCAGAATGGTGATGTCTTAATATGGCTCCACTTCAAAGCTGCATACAGGTCTTAAACAGGAGATCACAGCAGCAATGGGCAGCAGTCTCTCTTCCTGATGCCCTAACATCCATGCAGACCAGCTCCAGAAACCAAAATACAGCAGAGGGCCAGCTGCAGATAGGGACTGTCTGAAGAGCAACCCCCAGCAGAGGTACTACAGTCCTTAAAATGCCCAGTCACCCAAACACTGTAATTTAGAGCCCCAAAAATACCTCCCAATGCTATTGATAAAGATTTCTCAGGTGTGGCCCACCTAAAAATATAAGGTATCTCTTTTCCCTTCATTTGATTTTATGGGCAGGCAAAGGCTCTCCCTGTGAACAGCTCTGCCCATGTACTGACTAACTGGGCCAGGAGACACCAACGCTGCCTCTGAATTAGCAAATTTTGTTTGAACTGTTTCAGGTCTGAATATGTAACCAAACAAGCTTTCCAAATAATTATGTTAACTTTTGGGCACGGCAAACACCTTCACAAATATCCACACTGGCACTTCTGAACATCTGATAACTTGTCCCTGATTTAGGCATCCCAGATGGTGTTCAGTTCTCATTAGTTCCTGCAAACTACTCAGTCAGTTGAAGCTTAAATCAGTTACAGAAAATGATGAACACATAGCATTTTCTGATTTCAAAGCAGCAAGTGTAAAGATGTTTTTTCCTAGTGGGTAAAGTACAAGGTATTACATGGACAGTATCAATCAATGCCATGAATTTTTCACAAGTATTTCCATTACCAGGTTTACCTTGATTTTATAATGACTTTATCATTAGAGATCCTACAAAGTATTGTAGTCTCCTTTTGCATTTTTTGTTATGTTTGGGGTTTTTTTTAATAGCCTGAGCTGTTAGAATATTACCTGAGAATCCCAGCCTTTTCTTAAATACTTCTCTCTATTTCTAGCATGATTTGGCTGCAAAGTAAAACTCATCCACATGTCCAACAAAACCATTTACAGGTTGAGAAATCAAGGAATAACTCCCCATCTTACCTGTTGGGGCACTCCACTCCAGTTGGTTTGTAGTTTTTAATGTTCCCACACATCATGCAAATCTCAGTCCTAGGAGATCAGAAAATTTGACACTATTATTGCAAATTATTCAGGTCTAGCATGAGAAGGGAGAGGAGATGGGGCTTTGAGCAGTGTGGTCTAGTGGAAGATGTCCCTGCCCGTGGAAGGATGGTTGGAACTAGATTATCTTTAAGGTCCCTTCCAACCCAAACCATTCTATGACTCTGTGTAACGCAAACTCCCATCTACAGTTCTGCCCATGGCACTCAGTTCTTCCCCTTGCAAAAGCTGTTTTTCAGTTTTTGGCTTCCTTTTGATTGTCAACCCATTGAAATCACTATGTGATGCACTTTCTACAGCATGTATCAAATGGTAGGGCAGGTACAAATATAAAATTGGGCTATAACATGGAGTTCTGCCAAGTAGGCTGGTGTGTCAACACCACCTTACACTGTGTGCTTGGACCAGGTAAATCAATATTGAACAAGGAGCTAAATTCGAGGAAGCATCTTGTTATTTCAGTGCCACTGCTATGAGAATTTTCCTTGTACTTTTCATAAATCAGTATTTACATGGTTACAATTTCAGGTGCAACTTCAGAATGGAGTATGCAAAGCCAGGATGATGGTTTCTCTGGCTCTGAGGACTCACTTCCCCTCTTGGGCACAGAGGAGATGGCAAGGCTGGCAAACATCACCCAGTAGATTCATCTTTGTGGATCTCACCAGGGTACATCCTGGCTCCATGTCTGTACTTCAGACCTTTTCCCCTGGTCACACAAATCTTTTCCTCAGAAAGATGCTACTGCTGTTGGCCAAACACAAGTATTTTACATCTCACTGAATGGCCTCAGCAACTGCTAAGTGCTTGGGAGTGTCTCCATTTTAGCAGGACTGATCAGTCCTTAAAGATCCCACTGAAAATGTGGGTGCCATCATCTTAGGACTTATTCAGACCTATAACAGTTCCTGCCTATAGACCCTACAAATAGACCCTGATTTTCAAAATTACAAACTGGAGGAAAGAATTCTATTTAGTGAAAAAATGAGCTCAAAAAAACCTGGGAGGTGGATAAGAAAATGAAGAAAGCCCAGAGCACTCAACTCCCACTTTGGAGAATGAATGAGGCAGCCCACAGCTCCATACTGAGCTGCAGAAGGAAGCAGTGCCAAGTGGAAGTGCCAGAAGCATCAGTGTGCCCCCATGGCAGGGCCCCACGGAAACCCTTGGAGACCCCAGCAAGGGACAGTCAACCCAGGCTCTGATCCATGAGCGGTGGGAACAAGGCAGGACAGAGACTGGCCCTTCACTTTGCATCACCCAAAACCTTCCCCAGGAGACCCTGAGCTCTAATTGGGGTCATTGGAATAGCCAGGATCCTGCTCATTCACACACTGCCCTGCATGACTCTGTTCTCATTTGGTGACAGTGATCTTTAATCACCTGCACAGAGCTGGCTCAAACGTGGCTCTGAGCTCTCTTTGTGCCAGCATCTTCTCCCTACCAAGAGTTCAAAGAATGGACAAGAGCATTTTGGTCCCAGGACCTTAACTGAGAGCTTAAACCCAAACCAAGGGCTAAAAGGAGCTTGAATACGGTGTCCACTATTCCACCCCTCTCCCAGGACCACAGTCTGGTTTCACAGTAGAAGTTTGGAATCTTCATTACGACCACTGCCTCAAACTATAGTAAAAATACAGTAACCATGAAAGGCAAAGATAGAAGAAAAGTAGATGATTCTTTTTATACAAACCACTTCTATTTTATATCGCTCTGTTACACATTAAAGCCAGCTGAGCTCTATCTGGAATGACAGAGACAGGAGAATGTAGTTGCTACTACATTTCACTCATTACCCAGCAAAAAAAAAGAGCATATGAGAGATGAGGTTTCTCCCGAAGCTCCCTGTGACTTGACTCATTGTTTATTAGGATGGTTTGATTTGCAAATGGGAGGAAATATGTCTCTATTAATTGTCTTTACACACCAAACAGATGCTGCAAAAATTATAGCCCTTGTTAAACAAGGAGGAGCACAAAAAGCTGCATTTCCTTCAGGGCAGTTTTCTGCAGAAAATGAAGTTGGGGTAATATTTGCTATTCTGAACTGCCATAAGTCACAGCAGAGATGTCCAGTTATTGAACAGAATAACACTGCCAGCATCAACACAGAAGCAGCCCATCTCCTCACTACACCAGCACAGGTTAGTCAGGCATAAAAGCCAAATAGTTTTCTTTCTGATTTGGCAACACAATTGCTGGCCTGCAAAGGGAGTGATTTATTTTAAACAGCAAAAATCCACTGCACCGGGGACTTGAAAACCAGATAAAATAGGCATCTAGGAGTATAAATAAGAAAAAGCAGAGAGAGAAAAGACATTTCTCTTTTTTTCATTCATCTCAATAAATATGAATGGAAATCTTTTTTTCAAGACATTTAGATCAGTTTTGGGATCTACTGTGTAGGCTGATAGCCACACTTTTGAACTTTATTTAGATATTAATATAATTAAAAGATAACAGAA